AGAGAAGGTTGAGAGGCGACCTTGTGGCTGCCTATAAGTTCATCATGGGGGCGCAGAAGGGAATTGGTGAGGCTTTACTCACCAAGGTGCCCCTGGGGGTCACAAGAAATAATGGCCATAAGCTAGCAGAGAGCAGATTTAGACTGGACATTAGGAAGAACTTCTTCACAGTTAGTGGCCAAAATCTGGAATGGGCTCCCAAGGGAGGTGGTGCTCTCCCCTACCCTGGGGGGTCTTCAAGAGGAGGTTAGATAGGCATCTGGCTGGAGTCATCTGAACCCAGCACTTTCCTGCCTATGCAGGGGGTCGGACTCAATGATCTATTGAGGTCCCTTCTGACCCTAATATCTATGAATCGATGATTCATTTTGGACCTTTTAACAGGTCTCCCAATTTGATTCGGATTTGGAGAGTCAGGTTGAATCTCTGAATTGAATCGGCTACCAACGCTTCACATAGCCCTAATGGCTGGCCCTGCAGGACAAACTGGGTCCATGGACCTGTGCCCCACTCGTCACCCTGCAATCCTGGATCCATTGCACTCACCACTTGCCCAGCCAGTTCAGGACTGCACCGCATGCAGTGCCCATTGGGGGTTGATCCAGGGCTCATGCCACATGGGGCACCCACTCAAACTGGTCTGGGACCAACTCTGGACATAATGCCTGCCCTGGAACAGTCAGGACGGGGCACAGGCAGGGAGGACACATGCTGCCTGAGTCCCAGACTGGCTGGAGAGGGTGCTGTGTGTGGTACGTGTCCCAGACCATGTTGGGTGGGTGCTGCATGTCCCAAAGCAGCTGGAGGTGGGGGGGTGGTTACAGGGTCTATGTCGCATGTAGGTCAGCTCCAAACCTAAGGGTAGCACCATGGTCTGGATGCTGAGGCTCCATGGGCTGGATCTGGCCAGCAACGAAGCCCTCAAGGTCTCTGTCAAGGAAGCAGTGCTGATGTGGCACACTATTCAAAGGGGGTTAGTGGAGCCTTGAAAGGCCTGTTCCAGACTGACAGTCATGCTGGGAGGCTGCTGCCTGTGGGTATATATCACTGGGGTTTAGCTTTGGGCTGTGTCCTGAGGAAGAGCAGCACAAGCTGCAGAATGGGCTGGGCAAAAGAGCTTCTGCTTTAATTTCAGCAGCCTTCTGAGGGCACTCCATGGTCTGGAACAGCCAGGATCTGTATTTCAGAGGCACCACCCCTCCTGCCTCTATCACAGTACTGGAGCTTGCAAAGGGTCTGTGTAGGCCTGTGTATTCTGGCTTTACATTAGTCTGCGGTGAGAGAAGTGTTACCCCTTTTTAACACACTCCCCTGCATCTTCTCAGCAGGTTCTTAGAAATACAAGGCTTCTCTCTCTAGAGCCTGAGACATGAGGAACAAATAGCTCCATGTCTACATGTCCCTCCCCTGACTCTGCCATGCACTATGAGGAGACTGATTCAAGGATCCTGCAATTTAGAGAATCTAAGAAAAGAGATGGAAGAACCCTGTTAGGTACCTGCCTATGTACCTGGCTTCCTACGTAGGGCTTCATTAAATTTAAGTTTTACAAGCTGGGATTGTCTCAGGAAAACAAACACTTTGCAATTGGTTTAACTAGAGCTGACCCCTATATTTTGAATGTATATCAATACCTACATCCGACTTCCCCAGTACATCTATAAAGGACTGAACCAAAATCTCAGACCCACCTCTTTGTGGGATTTTGCCATCTCAATCTGGATATGGATTTGGTAGTATGGATTTAAATCTGTTTCTACTGCTTTAATTGGAAGTGGAAAGATATAGGATGTGGAGAAGGAGGAAGACACTAGCCTTAGAGCATGGGATCTCAGCAGTCAAGGTTTAATGTGAAATACTTCTTGGCATAACCTCAGCCTCACAAGGGCATGGTAAATATTTCACATTTGCACTGATTAAAAAATGTCAAATATTTTCAAAGCACTTTGAGAAATGCACAAATTCAAAAGAAAGCAGAGGCACAGGCTCTACTGACAGAGCTACAGGGTTCTTTTCAAATTATGCTATGTAGCAGGTTAGTTATTCAACAACTTATTTCCCCCTTGCAAACAGCTCCTGTGCAATGGAGTTGATGCAGGAACAAGCTGAAGTCCTAGATTTTATCCAGTCCAACAGCACCACCCAGGGGAGGATGAGCACAATCCACTCTCTTCCACTGTCTTTTTTTCTCTTAGATAAGAATTCTTTACTGTCTGGTCTACATACAGTTTCTATGCCAAGATGACTATGTTGGTTAGAGTGGAGATATTTTTTTACTGACATAGTTATGCCAATTCAATGCTTAATGTAGGCAGAGTTCTAATGGTGTAATAGAAATAATTTTCTATTAAAAATGAAATATGTCATACCACCAGCACATTTGAACTAACGAAATTGCATTCAGGTCCACCAGAGTTGTACTTCTTTAACTTTGCCGGTATCGTTAAAACAGTATAAGCATGTAAACAAGGTTCAACTGACCAATAGGTTTATCTAACAAATCCATTCACTATGCCTTCTTAGCATAGTAGTGGAAGGCTTGCTTCTCTCCTTGACCATACTGGTATTTTCCCCTTTTAAATTTTAACTGCACAAATGTACAAAATCATACATACATATGTATGTGTATATGCACATATGTATGTATACATTTAGGAAATGCTTTACTGTCTCACCAATGCACATTGAATCAGGCTTCTATTCTAACCCTGCAGATTGTGAGTCTGATAAAACTCTGGAAAATACTTGATGGAAGAAATGAGTATGATCTTGGTTCTCCCAAGACTTCTTCTTAATGCAGTAGTCTAAATTCAGCACAAAATACTAGTGAATAGCTCCGATATGAGGTACAAGAATCAATCTGTGCCAACCTGATTTTCTTGTAGTACTTCATTTAGTTGCTATTCCTTTAACCTCAGAATCTTGTTCACAATACTATAACTTGTTAAAAGATGAGAATTACTTTATTTTCCATTTTACTTCAATAGGACTTGGATATATAAAATCTCAAGAAAGTTTTTTAAAATCCCAGCCTTAATGCTTATGATGCTTGTAGCATGAAGACCAATTACTTCTAAAATGTGGTCCACTGGGTACATGCAATCAGTTCCAGGCCCTAATGATTCAAACACCCTACTTCAGTTGGAACAGGGGCATCACAGCTGACTGTTCAACAAAAAGTCATGCAGACAACCACTCAAATGACACTGAAACAATTTATTTTCCTCTTTCAAAGGTGGGCACAAGCTGGGGACACCTGCTCCAATGATGGCTGTGAGAAATGCCTATTGATGATAGCCTTCATATCCCTGAGGTAGTTTGTTGTTTCAAATGATGCAAGAAGAGGTCATAATAAAGTAAGGTACCCCATGCTCCACACAGTGCAAAATTTTCACATATTGTCCACTACAGAATTCTTTGAGAGATTGTTCAGTGATCTGGCTATTCATACTCCACCTCAGGTTGAGGCACTACAACAAAATATTCTTTACAATGAAGTTGCAGTGGACATAATGCAAGGCAGTTACAGTAGCTTAAGCAAGCACAGAGGTCGAAGTCAAGGGCTCTATGTGCCTGCTGAAAGATCTACAAAGCAATTCTATGACAGATAGTGGTGTCCCAGGGGAGCGCGGGGGGCTCCCCAGCGTGCTTAGCAGCAGACCTGGAAGTGGACCAGAAGCACTTCCAGGTCTGCTGGAGAGCGTGCTGGGCCTCCCCGTACCCCCTCCCGGCTTAGCGACAGGTGCCTCCTGCATCTGCACCTGGGGTCCCCATATGGCTGATCACCGAGCCAGGGTGGCACGGGGGGAGGACCCCCAGTGCACTCCCCAGCAGATCCAGAAGTGGACTGGAAATACCGCCGGTCCACTCCTGGGTTTGCCGCCGAGCACGTGGGGGGACCCCCCACCTTCCTGTGGGACACTCTATCTGCCCCAGCATCGCAGCATTCACGAGCCGCTCTGGTACTTTGCGGTATGTAGAAAAAACATTTAAAACTCTGTATGTCCAAATCGTTGATTCTCTGAATTGGCATTGAATCTTCAGATTTGGATTTGGCCGAATCGAATCGGGGACAGCAATCTGAATCAATTAATTGAATCACCATCTCCGATTTGGGCCAAATCCAAATCCGAATCAAATAGGGCCCGCTTTGCACACCCCTAATGAACAGCTTTTTCAGCTATGAGATTGTCGCAATAGATTGCAGTTCCATAACATTAGATTTCTTTTTCACTTTTTTTTCTGTAAGAATTTGGTGAGACAGGTTATTTAAAAACCAGCCTATATCCTGATGGTCCTCAGGCCATCGCATGTATCGACTCCTTTGCATGAAGACTCTAACTGGTTTGTATTTCATCAACTGATACTGAGAAAGTGACCCAACCACCACCACAATGAGGACATCTTTCAGATCACAGAAGTATCTGCTTTGGGCAAAATTTAAGGCTTCCACGCACCACCCATCCTTGAGAAACTGCCTTGTCACAATGCAGATTGTCTTTCTGCTGTTCCAAATAGCGTCACGGATATTACTAATATGATCTTCCCCTGGCAGAAAATCTCTTTCTTCAAAGCACAAAGTGAATCTGTTTTTGTCAGAATACTGAGAATCCAGGTGCTTTAGTAAAGAATTCTGAACCCATTCAAAGTCTTTTCTGCTGTAGCATAGATAGGCATCATATATATATGCACTTGCATCTGGTGCTTGACGAAGGTCATCTACCAAAATTCTCTTAATTTTCTTATACCAGACAAAACAAGTCCCCCGAAGGTGAATAAAAACGATGACAGCTGTTATGAACATTACCAGAACAACCGAGGTGAAGATGAACACTGCAAACTGTAGAGGCTTCAGGATTTCATCTTCATTACAACCGTCAAATAACAATAAAGAGAGTGGAACCCCTGCAAAAGCAGGTGGGTGTACACAATATATGTCATCCTGTGAACCAGCTAAAGTCGTATTGGTTGTATTTAACCACAACAGCAGGTTGCTTAAAGTGCAATCACAGAAGTACCTGTTGTGTGTTATATCCAGGATGCTCAAAGTCATGAAGACACCAGGGTCAGGAGAAAGAAGCTGGTTTCCAGATATGTTAAGGTTCTTCAGGCTCTCAGGAAAAACACCAGGAGAGAGGTAAAACAACAGGTTGGAGGCTAGGTTGAGTCTGTTTAGTGATGCTAGGCCCCTAAATATATCCTGTGGAAGAGTAGTAAGGTAGTTGTTGTTCAGGTGAAGGACCTGAAGTTTGGAAAGTTCCCAGAACACATCCAGACATAAATTTCTGTCCCACACAAGCTTTATCATATTTTCTCCAAGATCCAAGTAGATTAACTGGCTGTTTGCCATAACATTATCAGGTTTTACACAGTATGAAAAACGATTTTGTTTTAAAAAGATATACTGAATATCTGGAATTTGGGAAAGAATGTACAAGTCACCCAAGTTTTCCAACCTGTTTTTTTCCAAGTCAAGGTACATGGCAGCTATTGTTCGGTATCTTACAGATACTAACTTATTTTCTCCTAAATAAGCAGTGGTCAGGGTTGGGAGAGAAGGAATTATTTTAATAGCATTATCACGGAGATTCACCATCTTTAATCTTAGTAGGTCCTTGAATGAATTCTCCCTAATCGCCCCAATATGATTTTTTTGCAAATCGATAATGGCTACATTATGAAGCCCCCCAAAAGTGAAATCATACAGCTCCCCCAGAAGGTTATATGATAGATTGAGAAAGTTTAGCTTTCCCAGGCCAAAAAATGCTCCCTTTTGGATCTGATTTATCTTGTTGTTGTAAAGGTTCAGCCATTCCAAATCAGTGAGTTTTTGAAAAACACCAGGGTTGAGAGAGAAAATAAAACCCTGTGAAATATCAAGCAAACGAAGGCCACTTCTTGCTAGCCCTGCAAATGTGGAGTTGTCTGGATCTTTGATATTCACAAACCCAAATCCCGCACCCATTATGTGGTGGTCGAGTTTCAGAAAAGTAATTGACGTTCCCTCTACAGCTGTGCTGAAGTTTTGCACTATATCTACATGCCAGCCATTGCTACCAACATCCAGTGTGTCCAGGTTAATATTTCTTAAAGGATTTCCACATTTGGCCCAGTCCACTGAACTTGAGTAATATAAATGATTAGAATTGAGACTAAATATTAAAGAGGTTTTTCCTTGGAAGCTATCAAGGTTTCCTTCACACAAGATCTGTATCCAGTTGTATTTCAGGTTCACCCTTTTCAAGGATTTTAGATTGTAAAACAAGGGATGAGGACGAAGGCTCGTGATCCTGTTTGAAGAAAGATCCAAATCTTCTAAAGAAATCAAATCTTGAAAATAGTTGTCTTGCAGAATGTAATCCCCAAGAGCATTGCCAAAGAGCCGGAGAACAGTTAAATTTGATAAACTCACAAAAGCATCAGGATCCAGATAAAGATGCCTATTGGCTCCTAAATCTAAAACTTGAAGGTTTGGCAGGTTCTCAAAAGCTGCTTTCCCTATTGTAACACTATGGGTAAACTGTAATCCTATTTCTAAAAGCAGTAACTGCTCTAGAAGAGGGAAGGAGTTTGCATTCACTTGCTTGATGTTATTGAAACTTAGCAGAAATTTAACAGTGTCACTGGGGACAAGTGGAATCTCTGTGAGGTTGCAGAAATAATACATGGAAATTTGGTGTTTTGAAAAGCAGCTCGTTGATGCAAAGATTTCTCTTGCTAACAATGATGTTCCTATGAGAAGTATTAACTCCTGATGTAATATCATGATGCTGCATGGAAAAAAGAATAAGAAACTTGTGAGAACAAAATAAAAACTAGCTGTCTAATTAATAAAGTGCTGGAGCAAATTTTTAATATTACAGAATGAAAGACCCAGGCCAAGATAGTCAGACATGACTAGTGATTTTGGGTGCCTCTGTTTTTGGAGTGTCCAGCCTGGAAACTCTTAAAAGGACCTGATGTTCAGTAGATGGGTGTTCAGAGGATGACAAGTGTCAGTTCTCTGAAAAATCAAGCTCACTTTAAGGCAGTCAGAAATCATTAGTCATTTATGAAAACTGTGGGCCAAAGTCATACTACTCATGGGTCAATGTTAGTGGAATAGCTTGAAAACTCATTCCTCAAGCAGAGTAGAGCAAACTTTTTTTCAGTACTGTGAATGGTGTATTCTAGGGCACAGGTGCTCAACCCCTGATTCGCAGGCCAGATCTAGCCCACAGAGCTGCATGATGTGGCCTACCAGACTCTGTAAGGGTCCAGAAACCTGGTTGGGAGTGTGGGGGGTGGAGTGGTGCTCCCCACTGCCAAAATTCCAGGCCTCACAGGTCAGATGGCATGGTCCTACATGTGGAATCCCATGGTACATGCTGGGCTGGAGCTGGGGTGAGGAAGTAGGACCTGATCTGGCACACATGGGGCCAGGCTGGATATGGGGGGAGGGGATGGGGGGGTACAGTTTGGTGTGTGCAGGGCTGGGGGTGGGGCCAGAAAGCTAGGGACCTATCTGATGTGTACAGGGCCAGGGTTGGGGTGGTGGAGCCTGAGCTGGCATGTGGAGAATGGGATGGAGCAGTGCAGTAGTAGTCAATCCAACATGTAAAGGATCAGGCCCCAGCCCCATATTGGGCTCATAGACTAGATCCGGAGCCCACAGATCCACCCCACACCACTCATCCAGCTGGTAGGGCCAGAAGGTTGGGCACTACTGCTCTAGGGCTTTGGGTTAATGCAAATATTGTACTAGTCACCTGCTCTTCTGAACAGTATGTGGACTGCTACATTCCCTCTTCCCCTCCAAGCTCATTCCTATGGTGGCGAGGTCAGATCATTCCCACGGCCACTATGAGAGGTGTAACAATAGGGCTAGGGGTTGGGCTGTGGCAGGAGCCAGTTTTTTTCTGTCCCAGCTGCTCTGGTTGCATCAGCTTAGTAACAGCATGGCAGTGATGACCAGTGCAAAGCTGTCTCAGAGACAAGGCATGGCTAGAATAGTACAAGGGGAAAGGTGGGTAAGTACCCTTTTTGGAGCAGTCCTGGTATGTCCAGTCATCAGGCAAGTTACTCGGAGCTTTCAGTGCTGTAACAGAACAGTCTGGTTCAATCCCGATGCCTTGAGAAGGAAAACCTCATGTAATATTTAAGAACATACTTACCTGGCTGGACTCATTTGAGTCCCGTTTTTGTTTTTAGGGTGAGTGGTTTTGTTTGTGTTTTTGGGTTGTTCTCCCGCCCTGGCGGGGGGTCGGGCTAGAAGATCTATTAGGTCCCTTCCGACCCTGAAACTATGAAACTATGAAACATAAGCAGTGCCATACTGGGTCAAACTAATGGTCCATCTTGTCCAGAGTCCTGTCTCTGATAATGGCAGAAATGGATGCTATAGAGGGAGAGCACTGAACTGGCCATCTCTAGAGCGATCTATCCCCTATTCAATACCCTCCCTAGCACCCATCATTTATTGGTTTGGAGATGCCAGAGGAAACATCTCCAACATTCTGTCCAATAGTCATTAATAGATCTATCATCCATTAATTTTTCCAGTCCCTTTTTGAACCTGGCTATGCTATCTGCCACCACCACCTTCTGTAACAACGAATTCCACAAGTTAACTATACATTCCCTAAAAAAGTACTTTCTCTTGTTACTTTTAAACCTGCCACTTACTAATTTCTGTGGGTGCCCCCTAGTTCTAGTAGTCTAAAACTTGGGGAACAGCAGTTTCTTGTTAATTTGGTCTAACTTTCATGATTTTATAGACCTCTATCATACTCCCCCCTCAGCCTTCTCCTTTCCAAACTGAAGAGTCTTAGCCTTTTTAGTCTCTCCTGCTATGGAAACTGCTCTAAACCCCTGATCATTTTGGTTACCTTTTCAAATTTTACTATATCCTCTTTGAGATGTGGGGACCACAATTGCACACAGTATTCAAGATGTAGGTGCACCACGGATTTGTGTAATGGCACAAGGATATTCTTTGTTTTGCTTTCAATTCCCTTCTCAGTGATGCCCAACATTTTATTGGCTTTTTTGATTGCTGCTGCACATTGACCTGATGTTTTTGGAGAACTATCTACAATGACTCCACAGTTTCTTTCCTAAATTGTAACCACTAGCTCAGAGTCCAGCATTGTGTACATATAGTCATGGTTATTTTTCCCCAGGTGCATTACCTGGCACTTGTCAACACTGAAGTTTATCTCCCATTTTTTGGCCCACTCAGCTTGGTTAGATCTTTCTGCAGCTCCTCTGTCAGCTCAGGACATGACTACCCAGAATAATTTAGTATCAGGTGAAAACTTGGAGAGCCTCGGAGGCTGTTTCAGTAATGGGAAGTTGCTTTTTAGTGAGAGTGATGTTTTAAAAGCATAGAAAAACAAGGCTGATGAGGGTGGCAGTGAATAAATAAACAGCTCTGAAAGAATGTTTCTCTAGTGTAGATGAAGCTGCAAGTGTTCACACATACAGTATTAGTATCACGGATTTACTATGCAGGGTAAATTTACGTTTTCTAGCTTATATTCTGTAAGAAGGCTACATTTGATATTGCTTTACAGAGTTCAGGCTTTATAATTGACGGGATCACCGCATGCATGCCCCCCCATCCCTGTCTCCAGCAGTCATGCATGCATACACACCAGCCAGCCGCATCTGGGCCTCCAAGCCCTCGTGCAGACCAGCCCCGGGCCACACCGCAAACTCTTTAAATTGTGTTTGCAAAGTGCATATCACAATGGCCTCAGGTGACTTCTCTTTTTATTCCCTCAAAACACTACAAAATTTGCAAGCACTAAGCAAACTGTGAAAATGCTTCCAGTTCTACAGATCTGCATAAAAGCATAGTCTTGAATTATTATTTACTCTAAAAGCAATGTTTCTGGGCCATCTGCACCGTTAGTGAAACTGTACAGTCAATCGATAATAATAATAATTAATGGGATTAACCTATTTAATTGCTGGCTCAGAGCCCATATTTTTCTACATGAAATGGATTTACTTAGCAGCTACTGACAAGCAGGGAATTAGCTCAACAACAACTTACACTTATTAAGTTTGAACATATTACGCTGTAGGGTACAAAAATTCTCACTCTGGTTGTCAGCCAGGAAATCATTTCAGCAAATACTTTTTATAAAGGAGAGGCAGATGGCTGCAGTCTTAGTAAATATTTATTAAACAAAGGGCACAGAGGAGAATTTTAGTGCTGACAATTTGTTCTGGACTGTACAATGCACAGGAAATAAAGGTAGTTCCTGCTCTGAAGTGATCGCAATTTGAGAGCGAGACTTGCAGATGACAGACTGCAGGGAGAAATCCAGACTGAGAACAAATTTCTAAAACTATACAGCAGTGAGGTGTATTCATTGCATTAATCATCTCATGAATGCGATGATTAATGCAATGAATACACCTCACTGCTGTTAGAGCCAAGCAATGCTTTGGTGTGAAGCTGTTAGAGAATGGAGAAAAATGGGGGAAATTTTGAAAGGAGGAAAAATCTCTTTGACATCAAAAAAACTTCCCAACCTGTTCAGAGTCTGGTTCATTATCCAATCTGCCATAAGGCAGAGAAAGTAAGGAGATAAAAAGAGATCATTATCAGAACATACATCTTTTTGAGGGGTAAGGAGCCAGTATTGATCCCCCAACAGTACAGAGCTGCTCTGCCCCTTCCTTGCAGTAGCTCCAGCTCTGGCAGGCTCATATGCCAGAGCTGGAGCAACCTAAATGGAACCTAAATGGAGTTAATTGACAGTGTTTCTCTAACACCACCTAATATGGAAGCCAGAAAAAGAATACATTCACAAACTGCACCTCCAGAAAGGTAATATACATTTCATCCAGTGCACCAAATACCCTGATGGAAAATATGTAGGAGAAACCAAAACAACTGTGCACCAGAATGAATGCACACCGTAAATCTATCAAAAGACAAGAACACCCAATGACCTGTGCGGGGCACACTTCTCACAAGAAAACCACTCTCTCTCTCCAATCTCTCAGTTCTAGTCCTCAGAGGGAATCTACAAAATAGCTTTTACAGACGAGCCCACGAACTTCATTTCATCAACCTACTGGATACAAAAAGTTATGGACTAAATATAGACATTGGATTTATGACACATAACCTGCCTAACCTCCAATTCCCCAGATGAACCCTCCATTTTTTACCAGCTATTTTCATAGTTTCATAGTTTCAGGGTCGGAAGGGACCTAATAGATCTTCTAGCCCGACCCCCGCCAGGGCGGGAGAACAACCAAAAAAAAAAAAAGTTGGTTCCAGCTCCTAGCCGCCCTAACTGTGAAGTAGTTTTTTCGGATGTCCAATCTGTACCTCCTCTCCATCAACTTGTGCCCATTACTCCTTGTTATGCCAGCGGGGGCTAGGGGAAACAGCGTCTCCCCCAAACCCTTCTGGTTCCCCCTAGTGAGTTTATAGACGGTCACCAGGTCCCCCCTCAGCCTTCTCTTGTGGAGGCTGAATAGGTTCAAGTCCCGCAGTCTCTCACTGTAGGGTCTGCCCTGTTGTCCCCGGATCATGCGGGTGGCCCTCCTCTGGACCCTCTCCATGTTGTCCACATCCCTCCTGAAATGGGGCGCACAGAACTGGACACAATACTCCAGCTGCGGCCTGACCAGCGTCGCATAGAGGGGGAGGATCACCTCCCTGGCTCTACTCGAGATGCACCTGTGGATGCACGACAAGGTCCGGTTAGCCCTGCCAACCATGACCTCGCATTGTCGGCCCATGTTCATCTTGGAGTCAATAATGACACCAAGATCCCTTTCCGCCTCCGTGCTCTCAAGTAGGGAGTTCCCCATCGTATAAGTGTGCTGCTGGTTCCTACTACCCAAGTGCAGCACCCTGCACTTGTCCGTATTGAAACGCATCCTGTTCCTGTCTGCCCACCCCTGTAACCTATCCAGATCCTTCTGCAATCTCTCTCTCCCTGCTAGCGTGCTCACCTCCCCCCAAATTTTGGTGTCATCAGCGAATTTAAACAGGTTGGAACATTTAAACAAGGGAATTTTAATTCCCTTCCCCTCACCCTCCTCTCTCTCATCCTTTGACTACAGCTACTTTCATTCCCCCTTCTACCCTCACCTGTCTCTCACCTACTGACCACCTCAATTTACATCTTAGCTGACTGGCTTTCTTGCATACTTACTGGCCTCTGGCTGCTTTACCACCCCATCCAGGAAGAGCACAGACCATTTGCAGACACTTCCTCAGCCTGCCAAAAGGAGTTTGTTCCTGAAAGCTTGCTAAGAAGAATTTTTACAACTATTTGAGTTGGTCTAACGAAAGATATCAAATTTACCCAAAGAACCTTGTCATTCACAAATTAATACCATTTATTCATGAAAGAAACCTGGGCTGTTTGTTGCCAGAACAAGTATGCCAGACAATCTAAAACACTCTGAAACTTCCAGAAATTTTAAGTGCATGACAGCATCATCTTTATCCCACTAGGAAGTTGAAAAGCAGGCATGAGCATGGGAATGGCTTATCTACACATAGACCATGCACTGCTTTAACCATACTGATAGTGCTATGATCCTCCTTGTGTGGACATGCTGTACCTTATGGCTTGCACCTACACTGCAAGAGGAGCAAGTTATTTCAATATATGGCACCTTTTCACTGGCATGCCTGAGTTCACATTAAGGCTTACAGTTAGTTACATTTAGTTCTGTCAAAACAAGCTCATCATTAACTGAGGGAGTTACCCAGCAGAATTTCCAAATGCAGAGGAGGTTTCCTTCTTTACTATTGAAGTATTAACAAGAACTCATCCTCCATCTTTACAGGTGCAGTGCTGTCTGGCCAAGGATGTAGTGAACACTGTCTTTACTGACAGAGCAATGCCAACCACACCAATGGCTCTAACCATAATTTCTTCTTATTTACAAAGTTGTTCAAGACCAGAAGCAAGCCAACTGTTCATTCTGGCTTCAGAAAAGTCTGATGAAAAGACGTGGAATTTGTAACTTAAGAAACAAATCTATCTGTAGGTTCTAATGTGTCCCTCATTGCCATCATATCTGAGCAATCAAGATGTTTTGGGGATAAACACTTTTGTACCTAATTATTCTTGCAGAAATCTTCAGTGTACTCCCCCAATTTCTTGGCTACCTATTAATACCAGGAGATAAAGGATGGCATAAGTGGTGAATGTATTATTGAAAACCATGGTCTTATGAGTTCTAAGACTGCAAGATTTAGCTATTTGAGTTATAATTTTTTAATTATACCTTTTCCCCCTCCCTGCAGTCAAGAAGGAAATAAAGAAAAGAAGCAGTATATGTTTTGGGAATAGAGCAGCCCAAGAGGATCCATGGGCCTATTCTTTGGTGAGCAATGTGAACCTACATATGTACACAGGTTTCATCTCAACCTTCTGGTTCCAACCTCTGAATTCCCACTCAGACGGATGTCTACATGTTCATTAATTAGTTACTGTGCAGTAGCACCAGTGCATAGTTATTTTGTGACACTGCACATTAGCTTAATAACACTGCACAGTAGGCTGTTAGCACAGTTTTTAACCGGCATGCTACTACACAGTGTTATTAGGTTAATGCACAGTAAGCATCTCATGTAGATGTGCCCAGATAGTATTAAAGCACAGATCAGCGTTACCCAAAACCACCTAAAACAGGCTTACTCTACTCTTCTGACATGCTTTTAAAACTCATTTTAGCTATATCAGTGGCAAAAGGAAGGAAACACGTTTGATTAAGTTAGTTTTGGATAGGCTTTGTAGTTTTAAGTTAAACACATCTTAGACTGTAATGTCCCCCAGCATGGTAGGAAGGAAGCACACTTCCTACTTGTAATTTATGGTGAATTTTACAGTCTCTCAGGACCTTTGTAGCACTGATACCCACCTACTGAATGGCATCAGCTGAATGAAGAAACCATGTTTATGGGAGGAGGGAAGGAACAAGGAGGACTTGTCTACACAGGGCAAATTGTGGGCGAGTCCTTTTTCCTGAGAGTTCCCATGTAAACAAGCCCTAGGAGAAGTTGAAGTGATGGCTATTGTAATCCACAGAGCCAAGGGACTCACCACTCCCTTTCTGAAACAAGAGGAAAATGCCATTTGGAGTTAAAAGAAAAAATGCATATTTTTAACCAAAGTGTTTTAAAAAAAAAAAAGTCGTGAGCTGTTTAAAGGCAATACCAGCAGTTTTGGCCAAGTGTCATGCTGTTACTAAAGTTAATTAGATCAAGAAAGGATGTTGCCATCCTGCTTGGCTTCAAGATGTTCCTGCTGGAAATTGAGAATGTTTGCTGATCCTCTTCAGAACTGGGAAGTAAGCTGAGGGAAGTGCCAGGGAGATGCTGCAGTTTCACAGAGCTTGTATTGCAAATACATGGTGGTCTTTTCTGTTGATTCAGCACTCAGCAGCGTGTTTGCCTGCTGAATGTTATGCTCCCTGACAGCTTACCCTGGTCTCCAACTCTGCGCTGACTGCCAGCGGACCCAGATCCTCAGGCAGGGATGTGCCAGGACAGTGCCCACTCTACTGAGAAAGGATCTTTGTTGCTATATCCTACTGGCTCTGTCTTGAGAAACAAACATTCTAATAAAAGTGAAATGGGAAGCCCAAGTGCTTCTCTGTCTACATCCTATAAATAAAGATAAAAGGGGACTAAGACAAGGGCAATGTCATTGGAGGGGTCTACTCCTGACTACCAGACCAGGAAGATCAGGTGGATGATGCTTTTTTTTAACTACTAGCAATCATCCAAAACACAGCAGTTGATGTAATGAGGGATCTTAATTATCCAAAGGGCATACCTATATGTGCGCTTTAATGCACAGAAACCTATTTTATTGTGCATTAAAGCATCACATCAAGAACTGTGCTAATACACTAATGTGCAGTAAAAAATAGGCTACTGTGCATTAGCTATCATTAAAAAGCATGTGCTTTCATTACTGTACAGTAGAGCAACCTAATGTGCATTTTATTTAGTACCTCACATTAGAGGTACTAAGTTTAATGTGCATTAGGAAAAGCGCGTTAATGAATGTGTAGACATGCCCAGAAATCTGATGTCAGAGTAGCAGACAGTCCAACAAATTCTTGAAGACAACTTTTTGCTACAAAAGGTAGAAAAAGGTACTAAAGAGAGATTCTTTGGGATTTTATACTAAGTGTTAGGAAGAACTAGCTGAGAATATGAAGGGAAACTGGGTTACAGTGGGTGCGTCTAAATGAGATATTACATCACTATAGCAACATGCTATTGTGGTGTAGCATTGGTGGGCACAAACTGACACCACAGTTACATCGCCATTGAGACACACTCCCTTGCTACAATGTATTGCTACCGCCACATGGTGGCTAAAAATAACTATGTGTTGCCAGAGTGATGCAGTAATGGCTGTTACTAGTACTTCCTTTAGGAAATCCTAAATAACAGCACAGTATTTCCCATTAGTACTCAAGGAAGTACTAAATGATGGTGCAGTAACAATGGCGCCATAGGGGCCCATTGATTATGAAATGACAAAGTTCATGGTTGTTAGAAAGGGAAGGAGGGAGAAAAGCAGAACACAAACAGAAGATTTCAAAACCTCGGACTTGAACAAAACCCAGAGAATTGGTATGCAAGAACTTAAGCAAAAAAGGAAATAGGTGAGTTAGCAATCTCTTAAAGGAACAATTAAGGGCAGAAGTACAAAAAGTCCCCATGCAAGGGAAAGACAGGAAGTATAGCAAGTGACCAATTTGACTAAATCACGAGATCTTTAATGACCTGAAAATCAAAAAAAGGAGACTAGGTCAAGTTACTAAGGATGAGTATAGAAAAATAGCAGGAACAAAGTCAGAAAGGTCAAGGCACAAGATGAGATATAGTTAGCAAGGGATATAAAGGGCAGCAAGGAAGACCAAAGAAAGAACTGGCCCACTACTCAACCAAGGGATAGCTAATTTCAAGTGACACTGATAAAGCCAAAATATTTAATGCCTTTTGTGTTTCAGTCTCTTATCATAAAAGGTTCACTTTGTGATAAGATGGCTAACACAGTTAGCATAGTTGGCAAGGAAGTAAGAACCCAGGCTATAATAGGAAAGGAACAGATAGAGACCACTTGAGCAAAGCCAAGGTTTTCAGATTGGCTGATCCTGATTAAATTTATCTAGGGGACTGGCTGCAGCAACCTGGAAGCTCTTAGCAGTTACCTTTGAGAATGCGTGCAGGATGGGCAAGTTTCTAGAAAACAGAAAAGCAGCACACACACATTTAAAAAAATGTGGCAAGAAGAACCCAGGGAATTACAGACCAGTCAGCCTAACTTCAGTTTCCACAAAGATGAAAAGTTATGTTTTGATTTTTTTTCCCAGTAAGCACCTAGGATATAATAAGTTAATATGGAACAGCCAATGTGGACTGGCCAAAGGCAAATCATAACAAAACAACCTCCTTTTTTTGTATGGCAGGACAATGTGGATGGAAAAGGAGCAGGAGATGTCTATATCTAGGGACCTACTGAAACTGATTTTCACAGAAACTGCAATTTTGGCAGGTTCCCTAACCTGCCCCCCCCCCCCCCCCCCCCCCCCCGCCCTCATGGCTGCTGTGGCCCAGCTGTGAAGCCCACTGGGGGGGTGGGGGGCGCTTCTGGCACAGTGAGATGGCTGCTACCTGTGCCAATCAGTGGTGAGGGGTGGGGGCTGCATGATGGAAAGTCCTCCCAGCCAATCTATGGTGAGGGGCAGGGCCACCAGGGCCCCTTGGCCAGAGGCATGGGAGGGCCTACTGCACTCAGCCTGGAAAATAGCTTCTGGCTCCTCAATCTGCATGCAAAAATTGGCCTGCAGCTGCCTCGATTTCGGTAGTTACTTTGCACTTATTCCAGCATGGATAAGTGCAAAGTAGGTATGTATAATCAACTGCATACCCACAACATGGGAGCACCTTGCTAGACAGCAGTTCTGCAGAAAAGGATCTGGGCAATTTAATGAGTAAAAAACTGGACACGAGTCAACTTTGTCATACTATTGCAATAAAAAGTAAACTCCTTACTGGGATGTAGAAATAGGCATGTCATATCTAAAAACATGTGAAGTAATCTTTCCACTCTACTTAGCACTAATACGGTTTCAGCTGGAGTACTGTTTTGGGCACTATAGTTAAAGAAACATGTGGAACCATTAGAGGGAGTGCAGAGGAGAGAAACAAAAAATAATCATACGTCTAGAAAACATGGCCTATGGTAGGACTGAAAAAAATAGTTCGGTTGTTTAGGCTAGAGTAGAGCAGATCAGGAAGAGACATGAAAACAGTCCTTGAATATGTAAAGGGCAGCTCCAAAGAAGCAGCCAATAAGCAGTTCTCCATATCCAGTTGGGACAGGACAAGTAGTAATGGGTTTAAATTGCAGCAAGGCAGAGTTAGATAAAACATTACAATATTTTTCTAACTGTTAGGATAGTGAAGATCTGGAATAGATTATCCAGAGAGGCTGTGGAACTGCTGTCCTTGGAGATTTTTAAGAAGAGATTAGATAAACTTTTATCAGAAACAGTTTAGGTGCAGCTGATCCTGCCACAGGACAGAGGAACAGACCAAATGACCTCTGGTGGTCCCTTCTGGCTCTGTATTTTTATGACACTGTATAAAAGCATTAGAAAACACAAGATATGGTACCCGTATTCAAAAATGGGAGAAAGAGTGACCCTAATAATTACAGACCATGCAAGGTCTTAGAGCAGATCTTGAAGGAAAGAATAATTAAAGATATGGAAGTAAATAGAATATTGGACAAAACATGTCAGTTTATCCAAGATGACCAATGTAATATCCTTCCATAAGAAGATAAGTGACTTCTTAAACCAGGGCAGTGCAGTGAACCAAATCTATCTAGATTTAAGCAAAGCTTCTGATGCTGTTCCTCATAGGAAATTATTAGCTACACTGGAGAGACTGGGAATCAATGAGATGGCCCTACTGGGGTGTGCACGGGTGGGCGAGGATGGAGCACCACCACACAGCATCCTGAGCTGCCCGGTCAGACACGGAGGCGGGGGAAGCCCACTCCGCATCCAGCCACTCACCCTTTCCCCGCCTTGCTCAGTGGCCAGGGGGTACATTGTTCTGTGTCCGGCCGCCAGGGTGGTACAACAATGCAAAAAGGTTGAAAACCCCTGATGTATAATAGCAGCGAACAAAGTTTTCGGGCAGTGGGCCAGAATGACCCAGTTGCAGCATAGTGTGATCAAAGACCACAACCACCAAGTGTTGCAAAAGCCTCTTGGCTCCAAGCCATATCCAATGGTTCTGGCCAAAGGGCCATACGTTGCCAACCCCTGCTCTATAACACTAATTTGCAACCTTTGTGCAGAAGCTAAATGTGTGTTATGAAACTTATGAATGGTGTTAAAATAGGGGAAGGAAATTATATTACAAAATAATTTTGTTATTTGAAGCAATAGAAATGGTATGAAATTTAATGGCATGAAGTGCTAATCATGCACTTAAGAATTAATAACAAGAACAACACTTGATCTAGAAAAAAAAAGGCAATTATGGGAAGAAAAGCAATGTTCTTGTGTCTTATTGTGGTCAGGCTGGAACATACTGACTTTTACTAACCAAGATGTAACTGAGTTAGCCTTTCCTCAAATGATCTCTCATCTGTGACTCAGCTCCTTCTACACTACTTCCCTTAGCCTTGCTTATGATAACTTGGCCTAACAAACTTAATGCAGCCTAAGAACTACTAAAACGACTATCATACAAGTTAAAAGGATTTAAACTCAACACCAAGGTCAACACTATCCCCATGGTAGGACTGAAAGGCAACTTTATCTCCATTTGGGAAATGTCTAGTAATCCTAAACCCTGAGAGTCATTTTCCACATTGCTTTCTGATAGGAAGGAATTTGTTTCCCCTTGTGAATGCTTTTTGGGTAGCTGTGCTTTTGTTTTTCATCTTCTTCCAAAGTTCTGGACATTGGCCACAGCTAAAGGTGAAAGTTTTGACTGGGGTGCACTGGTGCTCTTCTCAGTACTTAAATGCTGCTCAGGTATGTGCCTAGAGGATCTTGTTCTTCAGCTTAGG